AGATAGGATTGGGTTTAAAAGAGTGAAGGCTGGTCAAATCAAAACATGGAATCAGTCTGTGTGGTCTTTGACTATTGGTTCGAGTCACGTAGAGGCATGAACTGCCTGGCTGGGGTCCTGAAGAGGCTCAGCGACAATGGCTGGAGGCTGCTTGTGACAGAGCTCAAAATGGTTCTCAGTGGTGAAGATCCATTTACTCTTAAAGCACTGTTTGGTCTGAGATCTTTTCACCGAACATACACTGGGTGGTACAATCATCGATATAACAGATTAACTTAAATTCTGCCTTGACATCTGTTGCCTGAAACAAATGCTGTTCAAAAGATTTGACAGTTTCTCTTCTCCTCATCCAAAAATCTAAACAGAGAAAAAGAACCATCATACAAGTCTGAAGACAAGTTTGATCTCAAAAGGATTCACATCTTAATCAAATCTGAAATCCAAAGTCGAAATAGGATTTATAACTAAAGGCTTTTATCATGTAAAACTCATTTTAATAAAATTTCCAATGGAGGCAAGTAGTGTATTATTGTAACAAATCTTTCAGATGCTCTCCTCCGTCGTTATCATTCTTGGCGCTACAAAACATAGGGTTAGTGACTTTCATGGTTTTAACACACTTGGTATTCTCGAATATCTCAAAACTCTCAAAACTCCCCAAAGCCTTGATCCTGATATTGTATCTTCTGTTATTCTCAGATGTGCGGATATTTTATGTTATTCTCTTACAGATATTTTCAATACTTCTTTTTGTAATAACGTTGCAGCAGTAGCATGGAAAAAGATTAAAATTATCCTGGTTCCCAAATCATGTACTGGTATGAATGTTAAATTTAGATTGGTTTCAATTACCTCTCCTTTTTTGAAATTAAAAGAGAAATTACTTTTATTCAACCTTGAAAAGTTTAAATGACAGTTTGCATATAAATGGAGCAGGAGTACCTCAAATGCCTCTGTCCTAGGACCACATGGTAGTATTGTTTCCTGCTTAGACAAATGAGCCAAATATGTCCGATGTGCCTGCCTTGATTACATATCCAATTCTGACTCTGTTCCCAGATGACTTCTGTTAAATAAGCTTTCTCTGACACAAACTGAGTCCTGGGCTGTTAACTGGTTGCATGCTTATTTCTCTAGGAGAATCCAGCATATTGTAGATAACGGCAAATCTTCCTGTGCCTTGCTTATTGAAACCGGTGTCCCTCAAAGTGCTGCTACCTCTCCTTTTGTTTTCGCCTTCTTCTCACATGATTTGCGTCTCTCGAAAGAAATCAGCTTCGTTAGATACGCTGATTATCTGACTCTCTCTCTCTCTCTCTGCCAGTTACGTCCCTATCCGACAGTTTCAAACTGAATACCTTTTTGTCAGAAATCAGCGAGTGGTCTAAGCTAAATGATTTTACCTTAAATCCCTCTAAATGTGAGACAGTTAACTTCGCCGTCAAGCATAAACTTGATCTACACGAACTTGTTCGTTAACACAACACTTGTAGCATAGACGGCAAAGAAATAGAAACTACGTCAACGATAAGATACCTTAGAATAGTTCTATCCTCTGACTTTTCTTGATCTTCCTATATCTTGTCGACTTCTAGGAAGATGTTCCCTCTAACCTACTACATTAGGAAGTGAAGAAAATTGGAAATCACTTACCCTCCACTTTTACAATTTGTTAACTCTTGCATCTTAACTATTGGTGTTCATTGTCCCGTCTTTAGTCTTTCCTCAGCTAATTAAAAAGGACTATGTCATACTATGAGCGATATTAAAGACTATCATCAGTAGGGTAATTAGTGTGTTACTAAGTCAGCCCGTTACTGTTGTAGTTGACAGACACCTGAACTCATGTGAGAAATGGTCTAAATCCACATTATCTGACTCTCGATTCCCTCTCTATTCACAGCTCTTCTTTTATGATGTAGGACTATAATTTATTATAAAACATGATATGCTCGTACAACCGAACACAAAAACTCAACTATAGCGTATTTGACTGGCGTTCTATGGGATAGAGATAGCATTGAGTGTGAAACCTATAACTTACTATGTAATTAGCGAAACAGTCAGTTGGTTTGCCTTCTCCTGTTTGTAATTTATGGTGACACTATTTCACTTATGTTACCATTTTAGTTATCAATCATTATTATTATTATTATTTTACACTTTTTGACTTTAGCGTCACTGCTAATACCAAAAAGCAACTATCATTAATTCTGGTTACGTACACCCTGTTGTCGAGTAAATTATATGCAGTACTGTACCAAATGCTAAGAATCTCACACTGTATCATAAGTACTGATTTGGAATAAAGTAAAGATTAATATTATCATACTTGAATGACATCCGCTTTTGTGTTGTTACCTTCATGGGACTATAGTTACCTTTGCATTTCAGAAACAGATAAAATTTGTGCCATGTCACCTTGTGTTTTAACTACTGCGAAGTCTAAACTCTGTGTCGTCAGTATTGCACAAATATTTACTGTCTACCACGGTCGTTATGAAATTTCTGTTCGATTTCACCAGCCCATCAATTAACGGAAAATCAATATTGAAATGAGCAGAAGTATCTATAACAAACTGAAGTACACATAAAATACTACCTAATTCTATGCCAAGATAACAGGCACTTTGAAACGGATAAGATATACTAGTAGTCCACCAATCCAACTATTAGTACAAGGTAATTTTTGACTATTCTATTTCTAAAATAGATGTTTGAACCAATTATCATATTACTTGTTAGATTATTATAGTCATGACTTAGAAGAATATTACAGAACATTCAGATGTCATAATTATGAAAAACTGATCTACATCACTGAGTAAATTTGAAACACTTAGCAAATGGATCTCGAATAATCTTAAAATCCACTATTGCATATAATGAACATTTGATTACAGATAATTTCCTGGCATCTATGTGAGTGGTCCATTCGATTCCGTCCCAGTGACTGAAAAGTTAACGGGCTTGTCTCCTAACCCTAATTCCTGTTTTGAATTCTCGGTGAGGTCATCAGCTTGTACTGCTGAAGAGTCCCAAACTATCATGAGACAGTCACACAGTGTTATACAATAATACTGACTGATGACGTTTCGAGCACAAACTATTGCTCATAATCATATCAAGTAAAAAGTTACGTGAGTGATATGATTATGAGTGGCAATAGTTTGTGCTCGAAACGTCATGAGTTAATATTACTGTATAACACTGTGTGACTTATCAAAATAAAAAATCTCATCTATAATGGAGTTGTACTCTACCACAGTGCCCAGGTTTTATACTTATATCTATAATGAGACAAGTCTGCTGTACTTCCTTAATGCCAATAGTTCTCTAACTAGTATCATTTTGTAATCTCTTTCCAAGTCAGTTAAAACCCTTCCAACGGACACTTGATAACTTTTTAAGCATTATCTTATCCGCTTAAAAAAATTCATATTGGTAAAAAGACGCTAACTAGGGAACAAACATGTACCACCAAAACAAGTAATAGCTTTTGATTTACTATGCTCGAAGTGTCACTAAACAGACTCGAAATCATCCTAGTAAAAGTGACTGCCTCAGTGGAAAGTCTATAAACAAAGAAAAAATTGGTGACTCTTAAGCTAAGTGCCATCATGCATTGTGTGATGTTAAATAATTGTAATTAACTGTCATAAGACTGTAAATCGGTGTTCGTTGTCCTTGTCATTCTTGAAAATAGTACATTTATAACCTTAGAGTTACCTGTATTCCTTCGGAAATATAGGTTAGTGTGATGCATATAATAAGTTTGAATTAGCTCATCTATACGGAAAATCTCAGTTTTCAGTTGATTGCTTCCTGTCATCTAATGCTCGAAATCATAACACACTAATCGCTAAATCATCCAATTTTTCTAGCCATTCTCCAGGCGGATGTTTTATCATATATAGGAAGGCGATGTAGCTCGCTATTTGTCTGATTATACTGTTCGTCGAGTTATCGGCTGATTCTGGTGCCTTATTTAGTTAGAAAATATAAATCTAGTAAGTTTGTTCTAAATTATTGCATCCTCACTGAGCCAGCCAGCATGAGGCTGATTCTCAGAGTCTAGAGAGGAGTACGACTATGACATACAAAAGAATGACTAAGATGTTGTGAAACAGCTTTGTCGAATTGCTTCTGTCTGCAACAACACAGCATAATCTACCGTCAACTGAGAGATTAATGTGCTAGATTTACTAACACATCTCGCCGCCACTGTGGATTGTGGAGAATTAGCTCCCTCTTGGTTACTCATGAAGATCCAATTCACTAAACTTTTATTTATATGACGTGCTGCCTATTTATCACATTAGTCAACGAAAGCTTTATAACGACACATCTAATGTTCTACATTGATAGACAGTGCTAATTATATATGCTCTCAAGAAAGCCGAAAATGTCATTTTAAATCGTCCTCAGATTGTACAGTACGAAGTTTTTGCCTCGGTTTCATTCATACTGATATTCACTTACTCTCGATAATAGATTTCCGTTTTATATGAATGTTACATGCGAATGATGCATAACCAAGGAAGTTTTATCATTCATGCGGAACAGAGTGCAGTTTTCTGTAAACTATACTTGCATCATGCGGACAACATGTGCAGGTAACACAGATTTGGACTAAAATGTCGAGTATTTGCATCAAATATTAGCTTCTGCAATACACACTTTGTTATGCGTTCCTAGGTGAATTGAGAACTGCCCAATCAATCTATCTCTTTTCAAATAACACATCGCAACCTAGGCGTTTTGACTCCATTTAGTATTTCTTTACTTGATTTTGACCGAGTCGAGTCGAGTCGAGTCCGAACGAATGTATCCCTACACATATAGTATCAAGGCGCAACCACAGTACCACATACGTGCACTAATCATGATAAATTTAATTGTGACCAATATAAATACTATGCCCACTGACACTCTTTCACTCAATATTACCGGTAACTGCATAAAACTTATCAAAAAGGAAGAGATTTTGTCAAAGTCATCTCCACGAACAATTTTTATTACACAGTTTCAGCAAAATAACAACATTCCAATAATAAAAGACTATTTACTTATTATCTTCACGCAAATGGAATTTAGTCCACTAAGATTTTTTCAACCGTGTCCAACTGACGAGATATATCTTCGTTAATACTGTCATCATCTTCCCAAGGCTCTTTCAATTTATCTCCTCTATCCACTTCAGCCATACTATTCGGTGCTTTCTGTAAATTCTGTTCTTTTGTCTTCTGATTCATTGGTTTGTTCAAGTTTTCTGTCAACTCATCACTTTCTGGTGTCTCATATGCGTAAGGCGCATTGTTCATTGCGTTGTCAGCAACAGTTTCTAGTGTATTTGGTTCATTTTCAATCGGAATCGGATACTGGCGTGGCAACATTTCATTCCAATCTTCAGGTGATCCTTTCTCGTGGTCTTGGAGATTGTTTACAGAATTCTCACTGATAGCATTAATGGCTGTTGTGATTGTGAGTATAGTGTATAACAACAAGACAGGAGACATGCTTTCAATTCCTATAAGGTGGTAGACTGACAAAACTTTGCGAAAATTCGTTATAAATACGAAATATTTACAAGGTCATCGTAAGTGGTGTTCACTTCTGCCCACTTTCAAATTACTTCCATAAATGCCTTTCAATTGGTCAACAATGATTTCTACTCACGTATCTGAATTTTCACATTCAAAATGAATTAGTCATTTGAAATGCAATCGATATGTCTGTCAGTGGTCAAAGTGATGTTCGAAATTTCATTTGCCTCGACAAAATTTAGTTTAGTCTATAAATGACTGCTAATTGGTCAGATATTTAAAAATTGATTTTATTACGTTGTGGGAGACTGCACTATATTGTTAGTGTTAACAGTGAATACTAGACATAGAAATGGAGTATATATATATATATATATATATATATATATATATATATATATGCAGCCAATGGAATACATGGATATAGTAGCGATTTCCTAGGTGGAAATAAATAGGTGAACAATGATCTTTAGGAGGAAGATGGTTACGTGTCTTTATCAAATAAATTTATTCTTAGGTGAAGTTATACTGCATCTCAGAGTTAAATTGTATTCTAATATCAGTATGAAAGAGAATAACATTATAAGCAGAAATGTTGGCTTAGTTATACGTGATAAAATTGAGATACTATAATTAGGCACTGGGTTCGTGCCTCGGTGGAATCATCATCAGCCACAGAGCAACGCAGTTACATCTAGTGACGAGTCCTAAATGGGGCGAAATGTGCATCTTGGATTCCACCGCTACTCGCCATCCACCAATTAATAACTACCGTAATTCTTCTTTGTGTTGTTATTCATTTAAATGATTATCCGTTTGTTGCAACACTAACTCTCCCAAAGCTCAGTAAATTGCCCCTGAAGTCGTTTAGTGGAATATATGACAAATCCTAATGAAACATGAGTCATGTACGTCTTCACAGTTCTAAATCCAATATTTTGGCTTTAAAATTAGTCTGCACATTGCAAAATTCAAGTTAATCCAAATACCTTTGAGTGATATCACTGTATCTTCAGTCAAGCCTTAGCATGATTGTTTGTTAATTTACGTTTTTATGCATCGTTTTTATTGACTTGGAATCTGACTTCTTTCGTTGTGTGGCTTATTCTTTATTATTTGATAAATTCGATCTCTAATAACATGCCTGTTGATCGCTAGTTCATTTGAGTACCATGCTTCTAGGAATTCCCTGGTAGTTTTAGTGCTGAAAATTTCTATATTTATCCAACCACATTAGTATCCATGTTTGTCTACATGCATTGATTTGAAAGAATATATGGCGGGTATTTTGACAGCTAGTTTATGTTTTTGAACTCACAGTAGAAGTAGATGTATGGTATTTATCACAGGTAATGTCATTGATCTTGTCTTCTTTTGCTGTTAGGTCACTGTGTCTGCATAATGACCCGACCGATAGCTGCTACCTTGACGTAGTCCTCGGGCTTGCACATCGCAATGACCCAACAAGCTGCACTGGCTGGAACCAGTGTTCCTGCAGATCCTATCATGCCAGGAAGGTTGTTATGATAGCGATTAGACTAAAAGCACTTACCGGATTCGTGTAAGAATCTTTCTTACACTATTCTGGGGGGTCTGAGGGCGAAGTCGTACTGCTGGGAAACAGGGATGTAACAGCAGTAAGGTGTTTCCCTCAGATGACCAGCATGCCAGCCAGCTATGCTGTCTCTCCACCACGGGGAGAGGGGGTTGGAAAAGGTCGACCCTAAAAATTGTGCATCCCGACTTATCCTACGGTGAACCGTAACCGACGGTAAATTTACTAATACGGAACCAATCCCAGAAACCAGTTCATACAGGCCGCGTGTGACCGGCCTCAAGTAGTTGTACCCTGGACCCCGCGGTCACACAACACTAACCTTCTTTCTGTTTCAGGTACCCGAAGAATCAATCAACTCCCACGGTGTGGGCAGCCGGGAAGCAACCACCACCCACACACTTCCAAAAGCACACGAAGCCTTCCTGAGCACCATTCTCCTTTACTCACATCACCTTCCTCATCTTGTTTCTCTACTACAGTTAGTACTGTTCTTCAGCCTAGTGAGTCATCTTCACTTCATTCTGTGACCACAAACAACGGTAAGATAAGAATTGTATTTCTTAAAAATTGGTCAACGACCAGGCTAAATGAGAAATGGTGCGTTAAAATGAATTAATTATCCTAATAACAAATCTTACGCCTTAGAGCTTAACCTAGTGATATGGTGTAGCGCATTGGAGTGCATCTACCTGGGTTCTAGTAGATTTCACTTATAAGTCTCAAACAAAAAATGTAACCTGCTTTTTATGGCCAGAAAAAACAATGCCGTTAATGCTCGGTCATTTATTCGGAAATGACTTAACGCTGACACATAGACACATAGTAAAACCAATAAATGAAAAAACCAGTCTTCTGTTTGCCTGTTTTCATCCATTCGTTTTTAAGTTACAACTAATGAAAAGGTATAGCAACTGAAAACTTATATACAATGTCAGTTAAAAAAACTTCAGTCGAAAAACGTTAAAAGTCGAAAAGAATAGTGATGGCCAAACAGAAACTTGAGTAATGAATATATAACAATTTGAACAAGAACAGCGTCGCTTTATTTTGTCAATTCATAACATACTTGGGCCATATAAATTGTATGAATACATAATATCCTGGCTTAATACGAGTGTGAGTGTGAGTAAAATTCAATCAAAATGGAGATAAACCACGTATATTTGTAAATATCTATAAAGATGACATACAGATAATAACATCAGAAGACACAAGATGATTTGTGAGGAAAATGTTTATAAAATACACTTGTAGGGAATCTCGTACGTTTGAGTAGATCACCCTTAATCTGTGGATGGTGTAGCAATCGAAGACTCACTGTCTACATTTGTGGGCAAGTCGTCAGTTTCTGATTTAGTGCCTAAAAGAGTGAAATGTTGGAAAAAAGACAGATGAAAATAGGTATTTAAAAAGAAAATCGTAAACTTGTTAATTGAATGCTAAAAACTCAAACTTTGGTCACATTTATCTGGTGGTGAGACTATATGGGATGATTTTAGGTTCGTAGACTACTATGGAGTGAAAATTAGGGTGCTCACAGGATTTGCATTATAAGCTTCTGAACTACTAGCTCAGCTCAACTAGGTGATGAATGATACGCAACCGAAAACTAAAACACCATTTTACTGCAACCATCGTGCGTAACGCCCAGCTATCATGTAATGTAACTGCCTAATTATCATCCAACTAGTGATTCAGCGGTCTCTGAGTCTGAACTTGTATTTCACTTTTAAACATCACTTATTGATTTATTGTCTGTTAAACCATAGGAATCTCCAACAGAAGACCATGGGATCGTCTCTTCCCAGGGGTACTGGAAAGAGATGCTACATTTTTATGAGAAATTGCATTTTCAGAGCTAACCCAACCTCCTAGGATTATAACACGAAAAGTGACTACCACCGAATACACAATTTGAACTGTAACATCGCTTTATCAGATAGTGGATAGGGAAATTAAATAATGCGTCGCAGAATTTTCTCCCGGTCCATTCGAATGTAAAACTCCCATAATTTAACAAAAGTTAAAGATTGGAAACAAAGTATATATGTAAACCCTTACACTTTCCATTTGCTTGACCAATTACTCCAGTTCACAATGAACAGTCACACTAAAGGATACCTGAGGTAAAACATCAATTTCCGCTATCACCGTGAAAAATTAGATTCCACCAAGCTGACAAAATACTTAAAACAACAGTCATGAATTCATGCTTTAGTTTGACCACAGCTAACTCTTACAAACCAGTCCACTATCATTTATTCGCATAACACATATTAATAGAACTTCACAACCTCATCCACTGACTTCACTCCCTTTGAATAACACTACTTCACTGTTATTTATTTGATCGACTGGTTTAAACGCAAAAATTTGCACAGAAGTACAGCAGTTCGAGTTGCCACACTCCATGTAGCACACAAATGCAGACAAAAGAGAAAAAATGAGATTCTGAAGGGCGATAATAAGCAGAAATGTGAGGGAGAAACAATCACAACATGAAAAACAACAGGGTTTCAATGGATATGGGAGATCACAAAGAGTGAACGCATCTGCATCATTGAGAACGATTTTGAGCCATATCACCGATTGGATCCAGCCATTGGTTCTTCAAATCCTGACGACTCCAACCAAGCAGTCAAACACATCCCTACGTGGCTGACTCAAACTAACTGTTATGGATTTCATGGACTGATGCCAGGTTTTGGTTTGACCACCAATAGCTCTTTTCCAAACTGATCGTAAGTCAGCTAACATTGCCCATCGAGGAAGGCGATGGCTAGGCATGAGTAACACATGACCTATCCATCTGAATCGATGCAGCTTCACAACCTCATCGATTGATTTTCTTTTCGTATATGTACTGAGATTTCATCAGCGATCAGCCCGTTGGGGTTGATGCAACCTCCTGAACAAGTGAAGTAATCAACAAGCTCTACCACTTCATTTGCTATCTTTCGGCTGGGAGTCGATGTAGCCCAGTCCTATAGCAGCATCTTACATTCGACAGGAGCGATTCGCATGCCAAACACTCGAAGTCTGCTGCTCAACGTACTCAGAAGACTGCTGTCTATCAACATTTTCACTTGGGAAGACTACATCATCCGCAAATCCTAAGTCAACAAGAATCCTCTCTGGTAACAAGTCAATCCATAAGTGGCTGAAGTCAATTACGGTTAATCCCATGAGTACAACTATGATAAAATTTAACAGAAATGGAGACAGTAGGCATTCTTGACAGACACCCTTGGATGTTATCACTTCAGATGACAACTCTCCGTAAGCTTTTAGACGGCTGTATGAGTTCGAGTAGAGTTCCTTGATTAGTACAATGTGCTTTCTCGACACTCCACTTACCACCAAACACTACCATACTAACTCTAGGCCCGTGGAGTCGAATTCCGTCTTCGCGTCAAGATATGTGGCATTTGGACGCTGGTATGTATGACTGTGTTCCAGAATCTGTCAAAGGGTGATGATATGATCAGTACCCACTGTACCTAGTCTGAAGCCTACTTGGTTTCATCGCGTTTGTTCCTCTCGAGCTCCACTCAATCAACTCAGCCTAGAACTTTAGATGCCATATTAGTCAAGCTAATCCCTAATACAGTAATATTTACTGTATATATTATGATTAAAAGTTCATATTCTTTTCACACCTCCTTAGTCTAACCTCCTTTAGTCTGACCACAGCTAACTCTTACAAACCAGTCCACTATCATTTATTCGCATAACACATATTAATAGAACTTCACAACCTCACCCACTGACTTCACTCCCTTTGAATAACACTACTTCACTGTTATTTATTTGATCGACTGGTTTAAACGCAAAAATTTGCACAGAAGTACAGCAGTTCGAGTTGCCACACTCCATGTAGCACACAAATGCAGACAAAAGAGAAAAAATGAGATTCTGAAGGGCGATAATAAGCAGAAATGTGAGGGAGAAACAATCACAACATGAAAAACAACAGGGTTTCAATGGATATGGGAGATCACAAAGAGTGAACGCATCTGCATCATTGAGAACGATTTTGAGCCATATCACCGATTGGATCCAGCCATTGGTTCTTCAAATCCTGACGACTCCAACCAAGCAGTCAAACACATCCCTACGTGGCTGACTCAAACTAACTGTTATGGATTTCATGGACTGATGCCAGGTTTTGGTTTGACCACCAATAGCTCTTTTCCAAACTGATCGTAAGTCAGCTAACATTGCCCATCGAGGAAGGCGATGGCTAGGCATGAGTAACACATGACCTATCCATCTGAATCGATGCAGCTTCACAACCTCATCGATTGATTTTCTTTTCGTATATGTACTGAGATTTCATCAGCGATCAGCCCGTTGGGGTTGATGCAACCTCCTGAACAAGTGAAGTAATCAACAAGCTCTACCACTTCATTTGCTATCTTTCGGCTGGGAGTCGATGTAGCCCAGTCCTATAGCAGCATCTTACATTCGACAGGAGCGATTCGCATGCCAAACACTCGAAGTCTGCTGCTCAACGTACTCAGAAGACTGCTGTCTATCAACATTTTCACTTGGGAAGACTACATCATCCGCAAATCCTAAGTCAACAAGAATCCTCTCTGGTAACAAGTCAATCCATAAGTGGCTGAAGTCAATTACGGTTAATCCCATGAGTACAACTATGATAAAATTTAACAGAAATGGAGACAGTAGGCATTCTTGACAGACACCCTTGGATGTTATCACTTCAGATGACAACTCTCCGTAAGCTTTTAGACGGCTGTATGAGTTCGAGTAGAGTTCCTTGATTAGTACAATGTGCTTTCTCGACACTCCACTTACCACCAAACACTACCATACTAACTCTAGGCCCGTGGAGTCGAATTCCGTCTTCGCGTCAAGATATGTGGCATTTGGACGCTGGTATGTATGACTGTGTTCCAGAATCTGTCAAAGGGTGATGATATGATCAGTACCCACTGTACCTAGTCTGAAGCCTACTTGGTTTCATCGCGTTTGTTCCTCTCGAGCTCCACTCAATCAACTCAGCCTAGAACTTTAGATGCCATATTAGTCAAGCTAATCCCTAATACAGTAATATTTACTGTATATATTATGATTAAAAGTTCATATTCTTTTCACACCTCCACCCTCCAACAGCTTTATCATCATAAAGAATGACGGAGAGAACTGTCACACAGTATACGCATGTTTTCACTGATAGTCAGATATCAGGACAGCAGCCAGAATGAAGCGAGTCGCCAAATGCCAAGTTAGCACTTTCTACACATACTGGAATTTTGTCGTCAATCAGATCATCACGACTGGTGGAATTCACCAAATAAATTAAATCGCCAACACATTCAACCATTTTACTCCCAATATTTGAACAAAGCGAAAACTACAGCTTTTGTCCAAATATCTTTAAACGCGAACTAGTCAAGACTCTATACTATAGAGCGAGGAGAATATGCACTATGGAGAAATTAGAGGAAGAATTTGAGTTTCTTGAAAAGATACTGAAGAGCAATGGGTACCCTCAAAGGTTCAACAACATATATGGAAGATCTGAAGTCACAAATCCGCTAAAACTGTAGTTCTTGGTTTGTTCAAATTCATTAAGGGAAACAACGTATGAAATTACTCCCAATAGCTAAATTAAGAGTCGCTGCAGACCAGCTGCGCATCATCATCCTCATCATCTTAAATTCACTAAGGACGGACTCCCTACCGAAATTAATTAGATTTTCTACCAAAGATTTGCATACGGCGTTAAGAAGACTACATTTTCGTCAGTTTTCATCTAGGACTATATCATCGGCACACTCTAACTCAACGAAAGCTTTCTGTGATATGTGACAGCTCCCTGATACAGCTCCACCGTCACACCAATCAGTGGATTGATAATCAAATTAAATAACAATGTTGATAGTGCACAGCACTGACGAAAACAACTGGTTGTCACTACTTCAGCAAAAAGCTCAACATGAGACCTTTAGGTTTGTATTAGTTCGAGCAGTGCCTCAATTAGTATAATATACTTTCTCGGTACTACTTTCACAGCTACATATTGTTGGAAAACCCATGATCCCCAAGGTCAAATGTCGTCTTCGTATCAGGAGATTGACAAATTGTTTGTTTACGGAGCAACACTAGGAACTACCACAACGTGTGTATCCGAAAATTTGTTTTCAAACAAAATTTCAACATATGAGAAAAGAACTCACTTTGTGTTCCTTCGTCACCTTTACCGATAAAAGGAGAATCATCACCCTCTTCTGGGTTAGCATTCTTACGGGAATGGACGACAGGAAAATCCCCAGGACTGTTCGACGCACTATTAGTTTCCTGAAGACCAGTAAGCTCTGAGTTCAAACGACTATTAAAAGTGGTTATACGTGAACCAAGAGCCTGAAAAAGTCTATCTGCTTCTTTATGTGAGTGCATCACAAGTAAGTAAGCACAGAACTCCGGTTTTATTGCAACAGGATCGCTTTGACATGAAATCTGTTTCAGAAAATAAGGAAAAATACGATGAACCATTAGCATATTTGTAGCAAACGCAAAAGGTTGGGTGCATTAAAATTCTCAAATATCAACGATACTCTTTTAACCCACCGCCATGATTGAGGAATTTTCTCTACACTTCAGTGACTTTTACCCGACCAGTACAGTTATTCTGCAAGAAGAGAAAAGCTACGCTATTAATACAAAGCAGATTTCGCACTTACGTGTCCCCAAAATCTACTACATTTCTATTGTTACATATCAAATCATAATGTCTAACATTAGGAATGTTTGACTACTAACCTCAGACTTAAGTACCTATTGCGTTTACAGCTTAAACTATTTTATACCTGAACGAGATAATTTACAAACACCTAGTGAAGTTTGTCTGTCAGCACAAATTGCTTACACAATCTGTGTTCTATATATTCTGTCTTCATATCACTTCCACGCTTCATAAATAGAACCTTTTGTTTCAGAGACCAAAGAACTACCATTGAACGTTTCTACTACATGAGTGGTTCACATGAATATTTCCAGCAGAATGAGATTCAGAAAACTTGAGAACCTACACCAATCTGTTACTGCATTTGAAACACATTTTGGTTTGTCGGATTGGCTACATCAAAATGAACAGAGGCATATACCTGTGTTTACCTCGATAACCAAGAATACTCCGCGTGAAGATCTTTCTCGAAATAATTTATTCACCACGATATCTGGTGAGTGGCGACTGGGTTTTAAAAAAGTCTAATAAAAAATTCAGGCTTTACAAGGACCAATTAAAGTTGCAGTATTTAATCAGCTAGTCTTCTGAGTCCATATTCCGAGCATTTCTTGCCCATGAATATGATCTCTGCTTGAGACTATGTAAAGTGACAATCTCCTCATTATAACAGAAAACTGACTCAACGCAGGAAATATATCTGACCACATAGAGATCAAACACGATCTGCTATATGGAGACGATCGTGGGTCACCAAAGCTTGCGATACAAATTCTGAACAAACGACTGTAATCTATATGAAAAAGAGAAGACGTTCAGGGAAAAGACTCTTTTCGGTGAATTCATTCACATAGCTGTACAATCGCATATATATAATTATTTGTGTGTGTGTGTGCGTGTGTACATGAGGTTTGTCAAGTTTAGATAATTGATCAGGTAATAAAAGAATGATCTAATATAGAAACAAGGTTAATTGGACAGCAACTAAAGTAACATTGAGTAATTTAAACGGTGAAACATCTTACATAGTTTATACAAGATCTTTAACTTTATAACCACAAATACGAACGTCAACCCGAATACATTTATCTACATTGATGCACAATCAAGATCACAACCCAACAATAGACATGGAAAATTATTTCAAGTTAAGACCTAGGAGGATTTGCTCCTCAAGTTTGTTACCCAGTAATATGACTGTTCATGGTCATAATACGATAGCTAAAGTTGACGAATTTCTTAGGAAAGGAAATACAAGATATAAGTTCGTTAGTCTTTTTTCACAACAGAATATTCCAATGAAAGCATAAATCACAACCATCTTCCTCCGTTGGCGAGACATAAAAGAATTCAGGAAGTTGGGAAAACTGTAAAATGTTTACCTGCGAACAGCGTCTTCTACACACTTCACTAGCAAACAGTTATGACCAAATCAACTATACTTTAAAAACCTGTCACTACTAAAACAGAAGCCAAATTTGCCAAATATAAACAAAAGCGATTAACTGGCATTAAAACAACTACAGGGAGATAGATAAATTGTCATTACAAGCGCAGATAAAGGCAACACCACGGTTGTTACGAATTCTGTAGGTTATGAAAAGAAAACTATGGAACACCTTATTATTGGAGCCTATGAAAAGGTAAACATGATGAAGTCAAGGGCAACAATGAATAAATTAAAGGCTGAAACAAGCAAAATGTTACAGTTAATAAAAGAGAAAACCAGTGTATCGATTTAGTTTACTCTGGCTCAAATAAGTTGCAGTCCCGGTAGATTTTATAGAATACCGAAATCACACAAACCAGATGTTCCATCACGTCCAGTTGTGGAGTTTACTAAATCTCCAGCCTACAAACTCTCCAAATACATTTCACGAACATTAAATCCATATGAAATGAAAGTGGAATATGGAGTGAAGAATTTGCATGAATTTAAGAGAAAAATCAACACGACTTATAGCGAAGATGAAATAATGGCAAGTGTCGATGTTTATTCATTATCCACCAATGTTCCCATTAAAAACTCTTTAGGTATTATTTATAATCTACTTCGTTGTGACAACGCACTTAGTGTTCTTTGTCCATTAAATCCAGAAGAAATCATGAAGGCATTCGAACTGTGTTTACGATCCACGTTATTTACATTTTGAGGCGTTCCTTATTTTTAAACAGAAGCATTGCTATGGGATCACCAGTGTCTCCGCTTGTCGTCAATCTGTTTATGCACTCATTAAAATCATACGCAATTGTGAGATGCTCCAGTACTCCAAGAATGTGGTTAAGATACGCGGATGATATCTTCTTCATAATCAGACGCAAAATGTTGAATGAACTTTTCATTTAATAAACTATATGTCAGAAACCATTAATTTTTTTAAAGAGTTTGAATCCTACGCAAATGATTTCACATTCCTGGACTGTTTAGTAAAGAGGCAACTAGACGGTAAACTTTAACATTTTCACAAAGGCCAACACATTCGGACAGATACCTAGACTATTTTTCAACACATCCCTTTACCACCAAAGTAACTGTGGCCAAGAATCTGATTAACGGAGCCAAACGTCTAGTTACTGAGGAGGAAGAGATCAGCAGGGAACTAAAATTTGTTCAGTCCACCCTTGAATCAAATTATTATTTCAAAGCCTTTAAAAAATATATTTAAAATCTGAATCAAAACCTGTTGCTAAGAATTGGGTTAGCACAGTGATGATTTCTTAGTGCGAAGATACATCGGATGAGATAAACCAAATCCCTAACAATTATGACGCAAGAGTGTATTTTCATGCAACGGACACCTTACGATCACTACTAGTGAAGGTTAAGGATAAAATAGAAGACAACCAACAGAATTATATGTACCAGATCAATTGTGGGGATTGTGACGACGTAGGAGAAACTTCCAGACAGGTAAATGTAAGAGCGAGGGGACAATAAACCTCTACAGACTTAAGCTAGAAAGTAGGTCAGCGATTGCACTGCACTTGATAGAAACTGGACACAAGATCGACTTTGAAAGGACTAGGGTTCTATAGAAAGGCTTTGATTCGTATAAACAAAGACTGGCTGCAGAAGTCCTACATATATGTGTGAATCCCAACAGCTTGAACAGGCGTAATGGTGTGGTGTTAGCTAATCCATGGCAAGTCCTGATTAATAAATGGAGACGGATATGTATCATTAACTTATCACATTAAATCTAAATTCCCAAATTGTTTATATCTTCTTATGGAGGCCAACAAGTGATTTACAACTTTCCTCTCATGCACACACAGACGATTGTATATTCACTTATCTATAACCCTGAACTTTATTCGAACGCAATTAACTGAAATCTCATGAAAAAGTATGCAGTTTACAGGGAATAACAAAAGTACACTAATAATTGTAAGTTTGTGGTTTAATTTTGTTCATAATTGAAGTAATTTTGACTGGTCGGAGGATTTCATCATGAGCTGACATCAGTTAGATAACCATTGGAAAATCTGGTAGTGGACAACTGTTTCATCCTAGTTTAGAGCTCTTCAGCGGTACGTAATTTTTTTACGAGTTGATCACGGATTGATATCAGTTAGAGAACCATTGAAAACCAGGGAGTACCGGACAGCTGCTGTTTCATCCTAGTTTGGGAATCATCGGCAGTACGCACCCACTGAGATTCGAACCCAGGACCTTCCGGTTACAAGGCAAGCTTGTATACCATTCAGCCACTGGGACCCAATTCAATGGCTCGTGAATTCTAACTTCTGCCGATGATTCCCAAACTAGGATGAAACAGCAGCTGTCCAGTACTCCCTGGTTTTCAATGGTTCTCTAATTGATATCAATCCGTGATCAACTCGTAAAAACATAACTTTACAAACCAAACTATAGGAAGTACATAATTTTGCTTATTATCTTTTGATGTATGTTGATGACTCATATGATTGGACAAGGATTTTAAAGACAAGTTGTGCTCTTTTATTTATATACGTGTCTTATTTTAATTTTGATTAATTTCCCTGAGGAAGTTCAGAATAGTCTCTCGGGAGAAACGTTGGAATTTCTTACTTCGATTCCGCTGAAATTTTACAAATAGAATTTTTATTTAGGAAATACAAATTTAGAAACAATGACGTCAAAGAGTTTGAATTTATAGATATGGGATACGCACAAGTAATAGATGTTCAGCAGGAAACCACAGTGAGGCTATTGAGGTGACAGTAAAAAATTACACCAAACACAAGCATTAGCGACTAATGATACGAATTCACATAGATAGTAACTCACCTTATTTGGTGATTCACTCACTTTCTCTGATGGATGACAAACTGTGGTGAGTCGAATTGAACGTTCATCAGCCATCGTAACATTTAAACCTGACCAAACAGGAACATTCGCTAAGAGTTTCAGTGTTTGACAAGTGCGAATCACCAAACGAGAACGGGCAGGTGGTCCAGAGGGAAAAGGAGACATCTGACTGGCAACAGTCGAAGGCTTCATCGCTACATCATTCAGATGTATATAGGCCTGTCCTCGTCCGACCCACTCATGTTTGTGACGATCAAAGCAGTAGAAATGGCAATACGCCTTCAAAGTAAGGTATTCTCCTTCTTCCCCAGTGAGGATAGGCGATTCTGGCAGATTGGCTAGCAAATAAGTAGATTTTTCAAGCATTTCAGAGGCGACAGCAGCTGCGGATTCTTCCAAAGTTTGTTTACTAGGGAGAATAGAGAAGTGTTCACCGACCTCAGAAGCATCTGAAGGTTCTTCGCTTTCCGGGGACAATGTGCGGACGTTTGGCTCTGGAGATTCACTTGGGAGGTCTCTAGAAGTATCGCGGCTTCCCGTTGTGGTTGAAGTATTTGTAACTCGTTCCGAAACATTATGTCCAAATACGAAATCCGCACACCTATTATTTGAGACTGAACTAATAGACATGCTTTTGGAAGATACGTTTGAAGACAGTTTAGGGGAATCGACAATTTTAGTATTATTTGGCAGTGTAGGGGGTTCAGCTGAACCAGACGGATTACTTTCATATAGACGCTTTACAACATTATCCAAGGGTGAATTGCGAAACTGAAGCTCTCCTGTGTGAGCAGTCAAATTAGAAACAGGAGCACCATTGGATGTATCTTGGCAAGACGGAGTAAATACTGAAGGTCTGAAAATGTTGGTTTTAGGAAATACAGTCAGGTTCGCCGTTGGCAGAGGTACACTTGTACTGGCTACTTTAGCGGGAGCATGAGGTAAGTGGTCACTATCTGACGTAGCCTCTGTTTCAAACTGACGTTTGCAGCCAGTCACCACTTCTTTGTTTACACCTGGGGATTTGTTGCTGTTAGTCTCGAGTGGAAAAATAGTAGTAGTATTTGATTTTCTGAGACATAATAATTCATATATTTTTGCAGCCAAATCATCCTGTGGAAATGCGAATAGATAGCTTTTGATATGCCCGTCATCATTAACTGCACCAATTCTCAAATTTCTCGGATCAACTAGTGCAACGGGTATTTGAGACCAAATAACAGTGTTGATCACTAACTTGCGCGTAGACACCAAACGAACTACTATTCGTGATCGACTGGAAGGGTTACTATATCCCTCTGCTTTGTCGTTTGGGATGTCATTTAAGTGAAAATGTACAGCCCCAAGATTATTCCACTTCTGTTTGTTAGCATCAAAAACATAAGCCCGACAATGTTGTCGAATAACTGGTATTTCTCCTTCTTCACCAGTAACTAGATCAACTTCTGCCAAATTTAGTGTCTCTCTACGCTTATCCTCAACTACTTCTTTTGCAGAATCTTCCAAATTTTTGGAATCTTTACTGTTTGTTTTAGCAGCTGTAACTGCCTTAGCCAATGTAGTAAACACAGATGAAGTAGAGCCATTACCTGTTGATGTCCACAAATCACTTGAAGCACCTCTTGATACATCAGCATTTACAACACGTGAAGAAATATTCGAACCAAATACATAATCAGATGGAATCCCTTTTTGAGCTTCACTAGTGAGTGACGTTGTGGACATGTTATGAGCATTACAGGATGCTGTCTTTGAAGCGTTAGGAGTACATGTTGTAGATAAAGCAATTGGAGAACTACTTGGAATACCTGTTGGTGCGGATTCAGAAAGTGAATGATTTGCTCCATTCACGGTAAGTTCTATTTTCTCCTGATTAGCATTATTTTCCATGATGTATAAGGGAATTTCTGGAAGAGAAGAAAAAACTTGTACTGTGAAAATTTGAGTAGCTGGGAAACAACTATCTAGAAGCAGAATATAAGATCGTATGTGACGATTACTTGTTCTTTTGCTAAGCAAACTACTAACATATGTCGTACTCATATCACTTAAGTGAATCCGATAGAGATCTGCATTTATCCTCACAACAGATTATAATCTCAAGCTCTTCTTCATAGCTAATAAGATAATTACCTATCGAACTTTGAATATGCTGATACTTCGTATCCGACGCATAACGCAGAATTACTACTGTAAACAATACATTTATGACGGCTGTTTAAGAGCAAGATAGTTATGTGCGTCGGTGGCACAATGGTTAGGACTTTCGACGACCATGCACATGGTCCGGGGTTCGAGCCCACACCGGCGCACACCAGATATCTATTATGGTCGGCCTGCGAAATTTGGGCTACCGATATCCACGCTGAAAATTCCATACTTGTACCAAAAATACAGTGTGGAATCAAGCTGTTACAAAAAATAAAAAAAAATAAAAATAAAAAAAAATAAAAAATAAAATATGACCTAAAAATCAGTGAACAGCGATAAGACTGAGCTTACTTGAATCACAAATCTTTCGCATTTTCTTTTCCTCATCTTAAAAATAGTTACCAATGCAAACAGAAACTCACACATAAAAATAGGAAAACTAACTGCACATCAACTCAATTGAGAACCAAGCTGTTTCTCTTCAGTCATAAAGATAACCAAACAAGTGTTTGAGTACGAAGGATATTCTCAGTTTATGTTGTAGTGTGAAGTCTGATGAGTCTCGTCTAGTATTCACTTAAATGCAGGAGATACCATTCTAACTATCAAAGATTCATCATACTACACAACATACTCCGTCTGACGACAACTGTAAAGAATCGACATTGGGGGTGAGGAACGTTTGAGTGTGTATGATTATATGGAAGTACTATGCCAATCCATGAAGTGAACTGTCAATCATGTGTTAAGGAGAGAAAACCGGAAACCTCGGCTTCAAAATCCAAGATTCAGAGTCCATCACAGTTATATAAATGCCCCCTTAACCTTGATTTCATCTGAGGTGCAATACAAGTCCTCTTTGGTTTTTAGCTCTTCTCATAATACCTTAGTGTTAAATGATTACGGTATCACCTACATCTTTGGCACAGCTGTATGCGAAGAAATGAATTGATCTAACGCAAACTGTTACACAGGCACTTCAACGTATTTTGAAACGTTTCTTATCCGAGTGGTTCGATTTATAAAATGTAGGTCCTCAATGTTAGTACACAGCTAACCTAATGATGATCAACAGTTTTAAGAGTTGACCCAATTTTCCTACCTATTATTTCCAACACCTCATACTACTTACCGCAACAGGCCAGCGAATCCCCTAAGGAAACACTGAAAATATGACCATGTGTTGTCTATCCTTACTGGCTAATTTGGTAAAGCCGTTTCCAAAAATTAATCTAGCAGCAGTCAGTTCTATAAAGAAATAAATAGCTGTGGATCTGACACTTTCTCGAAATCCGCAGAATGAAATGACCACATATCACAAAATCAAAGTTCTACAGAGTAGTCGTTTACTTCACAGTCACTTCATCCACAATTTGTATAATATCTCAACTTGCACATGTTTTTGTACGGCAACTTCACTGAACTTAAAACTCTGCATTATATAGAGAGATTATTGGTGTTTATAACGACTACTCTCCTCAAAACTAGTTTTGTCCTCTAGTTATATTTGAAATATACTTTCTGAAGTCTACACACTTAGGCGGTGACTGTTTGGAATAGGTGATCTCCAAAGTCGACTCTAGCAATTCATCAAATAAAACCTACAGAAATACCTTTAAAATGAGGTATATATATATGTAGATATAGATTTACATATATATATATATATATATATATATATATATATATATACATATAACCAGTCTTTACGTAGTGCTCAACTCTCATGTGAAGTCAGATATATTATAAGAATTCAGTCATTTTGCAGCACAGAACGTATAAGTTCTCACTAGTAGCACTGTGTTTTACATGCAGTAACAAACACATATATAGGCTACGTTAAAGTATCATAGGTAATACCACGGCTTTTCAAAAGTTGACCTTGAAAAACCAGTCAGATACTGGGAATGCTATACACCACACTATATATATCGACAATAAACAAAGAAACTTGAAGAAGAAATTAGGAGGAAACAGAAAATTTAGGATTAAGACTCAAATAAAGATTGAGGAAACCAAGCCTAGAACAAAAGCATACGTCCCGAAAAAAATCACACCTTTAAGCCGTGTAGACTGACCTTGATAACCCTAGAGGCGCAAAAAGTCTCCATACTAAAACAAACAAAGCATGTCCAAGTTCATGCAACCTCCTTTGTTATTCAGAAGAGCATAACAACGAAATGGCAATCAATGCTTAGTCTGGATGCTTGGAGAGGCATGTGATGAATAAGCATTCATCACCAAATAATATACCGGTCTTTCTTCTAGTCGAAAGAGATTTAATGGAAGCTGCAAAGCAGTAAATTCACTAGGATTTGGCATAAGCTACATTTGTTTTCTTCGTTCCATATTTCATGTAACAAATGCAGGCTTAGGTAGAATTTACGCATGAAACTAAGCAGAGTGAAATTAAATAAGGTAGTGTAAAAGTGGACACTTCCAGGAAATGGTCTTTATTTAATAGCATACTACATGCGTAAAAACCACGAAAAAGTAAAACACTGTCTACAACGAAAAGTACAAGTTGTCGCTTGTGCTAGATCCTAATCGCTTTCACTTTTGTTGATCATTTTCTTGATATTCTGTTCACTTATGCAACCTAAAATAAAAGACATTTAGCGGCAGATAATCTCCTAATCGTTCAGAATACACAATTTAACAGAGCTAGTGTTATGCTTTCCTGAGCCTCGTTGAATGAGTTAAGTTGACCTGAGTTAAAGAAGAACATAAAGTCAGCAAAATTAACATTCAATATTGATTAATGAAATATAAGACACATATGGTGGTCGATGTTCAGTGTGGAACTAAGCCAGTCAGAATTCGGTCACCTGAAACAGCGTACAGTATTTTGTTCATCATAACACAGACTAACTGACATATCTCTAGTGGTATTTTCAACCATTTACTTATTTCCTAAAAATATACCTTGCGGTTCCCGTCGCCATGTGTTCTCGGCTAAGGAGTATATTCTACGGAAACAAGTGACTGTCGTATAATGTTTTTGGAGTAGTTAAGTGGTGTTCTCTGTCCAACGAATGACCTTGGCGGCCTGTTTAAATATTTTTGGGCTACCACATTCCATGTACATTTTGCATCTATTTACTCGTATTTTATTGGTATTTACATATCACATTATGCATTCTAATCGTATTATCCACTCCCGGGATTTTATAAAACGTTTTAAACCCAAAAACTTTCATATTTGCAATAAACTCAAGAAAAAGCACCATGGAGGTTGGCAGCGTGCCTTAAAATCTACACCCATACATCACACCACTGTTCCAGTTATCATTAGTACCAACTGCCGGTCCCTGCCTAATAAAATTCTGGATTTTCAGTCTCTGTTGTCTTCTAGTACCTACCACAATACTGGTATTGTCACTCTACAAGAAACCTGGCTCCATGACTCATACGATGACAATATTGTGTCTCTAAACAATTTCAATGTTTTTCGACAAGACCGTGTTTGTTCCAAGAAAAAGTGTGGTGGAGGTGTTGCAACTTTTATTCACTCAAAATGGTCCATTTCAAACAAAGTTTGTTTCAAATTCTCGAATGACTTCATTGATTGCATCACTGTGAGATGTCGCCCGAAACACCTGTCAAAATACAAATTCATTTATATTTCTAATGTTTATGTCTCTCCTGGCTGTACCATATTGGATTTATCTATGTTCGCCGATGAATTCACCGCTTTTGCTGCAGCTTGTTTCGAGAACTCTTTATCAATAGTAACTGGCGACTTCAATGGAAGCGATTGCTCCTTCCTTATATCACTTGGTCATGACAATATTGTTAACTTTGCCACCCGTCTTGGTAAAAAACTGGATCTAGTATTCATCAATGATGTTGGTATATATGAAGCTCGCAAACGTGCTCCTCTACTTAATTCTGACCACTGCATCATACGTGTACTGCCTAAAATATATTCCAAATCACACAAAGGTGTCCTCTCTCACCTCTACAGTAAAGTTCAACGGAGATGCTACTCAAAAGACAACCTAGACAAGCTCAGATGCATGTTGAAAGACACTAACTGGGACTTATTTACAGAACAAACATTAGATGAAACAATCACAAACACTACCGATTATCTTAAATTCTGTTTCGAAATATGTTGTCCTAAAGAAACATTATTCATTCGATTTGATCGCTTATCTTCGCCATATCTCAAAAAGCTACGTAGAAATAAAGAACTGTTGTTCAAAACTAATGATAAGCCTGGTGTAAAAAAGTTAAACATGCTGATAAAACTGGAAATAAAAAGACTAAGTGTTTTATATAATCAAAGATTTTTGTCATGTAAAACCCCTTCTAATTTATGGAAACTTTTCAAAGAAATTACTAACGGTAAGCGATGTATTTCTGTTCCATCTCTTAATGTTGACACTCTTAATAAATCTTTCATACGCTCTTCTGTTGATACCCTTCCAAATGATACAAATCATATTGACAATAACTTTAGTGGTTTTAATACCCTTGATGTGCTTAAATGTCTCCGGTCTCTTAAGCCTTCTCAAAGCCTTGGTCCTGACGGCATACCTGCCATTGTCCTCAGGAATTGTGCTGATATTTTGTGTTATCCTCTTACTAACATTTTTAATGCTCTTTTTCCGGTAACGTTCTACCTTTTGCATGGAAAAACATTAAAATTATCCCTATACCAAAACCATCTTCTGGTTCTGATATTAAATTTCGGCCTATTGCAATTACTTCCCCCTTTTTAAAATTGATGGAAAAATTACTTTTACTTCGTCTTGAACCCGCTTTGAAACCTTTTAATGATCCTAAACAATTTGCATACAAACATGGTAGAAGTACCTTGGATGCTGCGGTTGTCTTATATCACAATGTTGTCTCTTGTTTAGACAAAGGTGCTAAATATGTTCGTAGTGCTTTCTTAGACTACACATCTGCTTTTGACTCTGTACCTAGGGGCCTTTTGTTAAATAAGCTATCGTTGACACAAACAGGATCCTGGGCTAAGAGTTGGTTGCATTCCTATTTTTCTGATAGAATGCAGTATACTGTATATAACGGCAAATCTTCTTCTACCTCGCTTACAAAATCCGGTGTTCCACAAGGTGCTGTCCTCTCTCCTTTTCTTTTTTCTTTCTTCCTACATGACCTACCTCATTCAAACGAAACTAACTTTGTCAAATATGCAGATGATCTGACTGTATCACTGCCTATCACTTCCGAGTCTGACAGCTCCAAACTTAATAGCTTTCTGTTGGACATCAACAACTGGTCCAAGTCAAATGGTCTTATATTAAATCCTTCCAAATGTCAGGCGCTTGACTTTACTTTCAAGCATCGACGTGACTTACTTGAACTAGTTAACTCTCATGATCCCTGTAGCATAGATGGCACGGAAATTGAAACCAAATCAAGCATTAAATACCTTGGATTAGTTTTTTCCTCTGACCTTTCATGGTCATCCCATATCTTATCTATCTCTAAGAAAATGTTTCGTCTTACCTTCTACATTAAAAAGTTAAGACAATCAGGTATCAACCAACCTTTAGTTTTGCAATTTTTAAACTCCTGTATTTTACCTATTGTACTCTATTGCTCTCCATTAATCTTTCCTGGGCTTCTCAAAAAAGATTATATCATATTACGAAGAGTATTAAATGCTGTGAGTAGAGCTTGTGGTCTGCCACTGCATGAGCTCGCTAATACTATAGTCGAGAGGCATATAAATTCCTGTACGAAATGGGCAAAGGCTATAATGTCAGACCCTCTGCACCCCCTTTATTCACACCTGTCCCCTTGTATCTCATCAGGTAGGACGAGAAGTCAATATAAAAAGATATATGCTCGTACTACTAAGTATAGAAATTCTACAATACCCTATTTAGCGCGTACTTTATGTGACGAAGACTCTGTTAGACGTGAAACTTACAAGTTACTATGTAATTAGCACAGTGAATCGACCCTTTTATCGTTCATCTTTCTGTATTTTATGGTGTCACACTTTCTATCGTTTAAATCGTTACTCTGCTATTTTATTTTAGTTGGTATTACTATTATTACTACAATTTTGTACTTTATACATATTTTTCTCCGTATGGCACACAGTATTTTGCTACGTAGCTGCTACAACAATCGTTTTATTACTATTATGTAATGTGTATTTTTAATTTTTTTTGTCGTTTTTGAGTAAATTAGATGCAATATTGTACTGAATGCTGAAAATTCCTTGCTGTATCATGAGTACTGTTTTTGGAATAAAGCTATTATTATTATTAACTTAGCGTCCCAATGGCAGTCTCGACGCATTTGAGAACATAATATTTTCGGCGGTGGAGTTGTTGGATTTCCTTCGACATGGATAAAACTGTGGACTTACCGGCTTTTCCAATCAGGGAATCAGGGTGATCCTGAAACCGGCGCAGTTCGACAAAACCTCCAAACTTCAGCAGCGGACTCCGGCCCACAAATTCTTATCTCTAAACATCATACGTCCAAGTTACTCACTCACTGTTAATTGATGCCCAAAGATGAGACCTACATCATTATACTACTATTGTGGTATTTAGCACTTTGTCAAATTTCACCCGCATAAAGAACACCGATGCCAAGACTGCAGCGGTGTTAGACATAAAGATGATTTTGACCCACAGTAAATATGACGACAATGACAACGACCATCTTCCATGAGTACTCACGAAAGGTGTCCTTAATCAACATCTGCCCGCCAAAATCTCATCAGTGTTCGGACTCTACATCCATCAGATAGCCAAGAGCCCGTTTCTCGACCGCAGAGATCTGAGTCAGGTACTCCCTTACAACACATTGACGCTAAACTCTCTGGTCCCGACCATCAAGTTGTCATTAAGCGTGCCACGGCATCTCAAGCTTGAAGAGAAATGAAGCCGCCAATGGGAGCGTTATTCCCTCTAGCTCGTATGAGCTGAGTATGTCCACTGCACACAAATGCACATTTAACTATTTTGATCGGACACATCCGTTTTGTGACAGAACCTAATGTTTTGCAATTATCTTGCGGCATGAACAAAGCATATCATCCTCAGACTTTCTCACAAATTTTAGGTAGTCTGGTTAGAGGACTACTGAGGCTCAAGCTTTACATAGATATAGCAGTCGAGTAAAGTGCTTTTTGGCACAACTGAACTGCTCTCCAGGAGGAAAGGTTTGAGCTGGTTACAACTGTTTCCTACTTATAAAAAATTCCAATTTGGCGAAATGCCACTGGTTTCACCAGCAGTCTCATGTTAGGCAGTTTTGCAAAACTCTGGGAAATTATATGGCATATCCCCCCTGCCTCAACTTGTCGGCAACTGCGTGGTTTAGTTGATTTGAGTTCGGACTAGCTGTCCAGGAAAATGTAACTGATGTGATATTTGTGCTTATTTGGCTCTTCTTGGGTGGGTGCTGGTATTGCTGGTCAGCACTGATGAACTGTTTGTGCAGCAGGACGCTTGAATATATGGTTCATGCAATGATTATTCGGTATACCGAGTATGTTTCGCGTACAATTCCACGACCGTGTTTCTAAAAATTACCTTCAAGCTTCTTTGAAACTTGTACTTGTTTGTGAATTCTTTTATCAGTCTCTGTGCAGTACCTATGACTGTTGCGGTAACAAGGGAATATGGTTAAAAACGAATTCGTGGATCTCCGCCTATATGTGGTGTTTTGATTGTTAATGTAAATGGAATCCACAGATACAAGCAAAAATTAACGTTCACATTTGGTCAGGAATTACAAAATTTTCATGGAAATATTGCGACATTCGTTATCTTCTCTTTAAATGTTAACTAAGTTCAATGCATACCAAAATGTGTTCTAGTCCTTTGCTTGGATGTTAATAATTGGATATTCTAATTCAGAAACTTGGATTCAGGAAGGAAACCTAACTAGGCCAATCGTGGAAAAAGTGCTGCTGTGCAACCTTATTTGACTTTCGATACTCATTCAGTGGACTGTCACTGTATATTAATGAATCAATATCAGACAATCTGGAAAGACCTTTGCCAAATGATATATCTTCAGAATGACTTGTAAGGTCGAAATTTAAGTGATTAGCTAGCAGCTTACGAGAACCAATTCCATTAGATGGACTTGTAGTGATGTTGTCATGGTCTAGAAAGAATTCTTGGCATGTCATTTCATCGTCAAAGTTGTCTCTGCTGTCTGATTCCGAACTTGAATGCGAACCAATGGATGTTGATGACTGTAAAACCTCATTATGGTCAAAAGGTGCTTCTTGTTTAGTGTTACGCACTAACTCATATATATCTTCAGAATCTGAAAAGTGGGATGTACAACAGATTATAATCAACCTACTTGCGATACGTGAACCTTCATTCAGGTAAGATATTTTCTGAGAAGTACTTGTCTTTTCCTGAGAATTCATCGCGTCAGATGACAGTGATATATTCGAAGACTCTGCAGAAAATGGTCGTAAAATGAAGTGAACACGATTCGCTTTCACGCCCAACGTCTTCGGAGGGGTTTTATGTATAACTGCTTGAACTGTATGAGTCCCAAACTTGGGAGGATCGATGCGCGTTACATGGATTTTTCGCGGCGAATTGGTTAGCGACACTGTATTTGGAGGTGAAACTACACGAACAGCAGAATGACGTGACGGGATAGTCTTTAGACGAGGTGGAGTCGGTGAACCACTTTTGGAGGACTGCACGCACGAAGCATAACCACTGGATTCATCAGAATTGCCAGTGTCATCTAGCAGAATAGATCCTAACGGAGTGGATTCACTTATTTCTACTTCGTCCCCGACAAAAAAGTCGTCTGCAGTATCTACGGGATATAACAAATCGATATTTACCTTCACCATTCATAATATCAGAAAGTGGGGCATCTAATTTTGTCTTCATGCCATCGACCGAATTTTCTGCCAGCATTTCTTCATTCATGACATGCTGCTCATCAAGTGTCTCGAAGATCTCGGACATCCATAATTGGCTTGGCTGTGTGGAACACTATATCACCAATTAGAATTTTCAATTAACCTACAAAATCGTTAGTAGCGAAATCTGGAAAGAAGTCTCCAAGCATCAGCTCGCCGGCCATGGTTTCGTTACTACTCGAAAGTGCTACTGGCATTCACCGAGACCAATTGAATCATTAAAACAAGATTTCCAGATTCAGATTTTTTTCATTGAGTGTAGAAGGCCTCATAACTACGTCAATCCATTTCAAATAAATTCCTCTGCTTGTTCAAACCGCTCTTGAATGAATCGGTTGAGGTTTCAGACACCACTTCTTCTGGGAGTTTGTTCCAAGAGTTTATGACTCGATATCGGAACCAGAGGAGCATATGCTTCTCCTTGGCTTTCGAACTCTTCTTCTATGTCCTCTAAGGTGTTCCGACTTCGTAGGAAGGAAAAGAGCGAGCAAACTAGGTCCGTAGTCAATATTCCAGATCTCAAACATTATAATAAAAGCTACTCTCTGGTTGCTATATGACGAGGAGAAGAGATTTAAACTGCTTGGTCTTACCTCGTATGACAAATTAGTCATGCCAATAATCGCGCGTGTTGTCTTTCTCTGAACCCTTCCTACAATATGTGAGTCCCCCTTAAGATAACGACTGGCTGTCTGGATGCAGTTTTCGCGTCTTGATCATAGCTGAGGCGAATATACAGAGATGAACAGATCCCTGGTGGTCTTAGTAAGGGCTCTGCGAATCGGCCATAAACATTGGGCCACCAGCGACCACCGCGCGACAGTTCGCTGTGGCTTTTAAGTTCTGATTTACCATGATACCTTAATCCGAATGAGCTTGAACTGGTGGGACTGTTATTCCCTCAAGTTCGTAGGGATTGATGCCTGCGTACGCACATGGTTGAGCATTTTGCTACGTTGACTGGAAGCATCCACTATATGAACCACTATAACAACATTTTGAGGTCTCTGTGCAAAGCAAACGTGTCACTGTCGTCCGGTTCCTGATGGCACTCCGCTACACACCTCCATCCAGGAAGACAGTTTCGAGTTGGTCATAACCCTCTGTCCTCTATCTTTGAGGAGTTGCCTATGACTCTGATACAAAAACTTTCAAGATATATTACTAGTCTTTTGTGAGGAACTTTATCGAAGGCTTTGCTGACGCTATGTAATATGTATTAATAAAATGTAATAATATATATTTTCATATAAGCATATGAAGACGACGTCGAAATGGTCTTCTGCTCTTCCTTGATTTGACCCAGCCTTCTCTTGCAGTGTGCAGATTTGACAGGCATGAGAAGTTTCCTCGGAAGCCGTGCTCTGCTCTGGATGGCAAGTTGTCGTTTTCTAGATGCAATGATACTCTCCTTGATGATACTTTCCAGTGGCTTGATTAAATTCCTGGTGAGACTAGTAGGCCTGTAATTTCATGGGCTTTGTCTTGATCCTCCTTCGTAAATGAGGTTACTATGCCGTCATTCCAGTCACGCAGTGACTCTCTATTTAGGATAGATAGCTTGAAGATCGCGACCAATGTGCCGGCTATGTTAGCTGATACCTCCTTAAGAATAAAGTTATATTGGTAAAATCTCAGCGAAATTGAAATGATTAATTCCAACGTTTCGTTCGGCAATCTGGTCTGAACTTCTTCAGGGAAATTAATCAAAATTAACATATCAAAGTTTATATATAGAGGGACACATCTTGTTTTTTTTAAAATTTTGTCCAATCATGCGTCATGCAACAGTTATCAATATGTATAATAAATAAATAAATAGAATTGTATGTTTATATAAAAGTATATCCCTCACTTTTTAAATATAAATCAATAGGTATGTCAGTCAAGTCTCGTAAACCGTTAATGCCCAGCTCTTGCTACGCTCGGGCTCACGCTGTTCCTTGAAGGTTCTCAGAAACGCTTAGTAATAGCGGACGCAAAAACCAAAAGACCGATTGGTGACTCGAGGATTCTTTATTGTCACACCAACATATAAAAATAATGTTTTTACTAGGGTCTGTGAACAAATATTACAATAATAAATCACAAGATTACTTCTGATTGTTTTCTGCTGACTTCCTTCTGAACAGCGACCGATGAGACGATGACTGTCGTATTGATGCCTCCGCGAAAATTGGGGAAGTTGATTTTGAGCAAACAACAGTGAGTTGATCGTTCAATCTTCAACTCATTGACACTCCCTGGCAAAAAAGGGATCCAACCCTTTTTTCCTTCACGACCAATTCACGTTGAATTGGATGCCATTGCGAGAACCTGGGTCACACGGACAGAGCTGAAATGGAAAACAAACAGAAAAGCCAACACACCACAAGCATACCCACAGCACAATCTCACACATCAATGACGACCTGCGCCTCCAGACAGAGACCTCCTCTTGACATCTTGCAACACAATCGCCACTTGCTAGAATGACTCTTGCAGAATGCAACGTGACCATAGCACCAACTCATGATACTCTACGCACATCCTCTTATCTACTCACTACCAATTACCACTGAAATCGCTTGTCACTCATTCTGCCTCAGTTCTAGTAGCGGTGACGCATGCGAGCCTCAGTCGTTTACACCCTTTCTCCCCGGCGTGTCGGACCGCAGCTAACAATTATCTCCGTGTGCATTTCATTCTCAGCAATAGCTTAGCCTCCCCGGCGTATACGACCCATCTGCTGTCCTTAACATCAATCAATTCATTCATGGATGTAGAAGACTCGAAACAACTTCAGAAATAATCACGACGAAAATTTTAACAAAATTACGCAATGACAACAAGACACGAAAACAACAAGTGAACACAATGAATCCAAAAACACCAATTGCTATGACACACCACACGTATATACAAATAGTACAAACAACCTCGCCGATCATGTCTTGGTGGAATTCCTTTAAAGAATTGCAGGACTTACACCAGTACGCCTACAACCCTTCACAGGTTGACCATTGAAAGTTGTGGAATGTCCGGACACAAACAAGATTAACCAACAATACAATAATTGGAACTCACACAACTATTTAACACAAACATATGTACAATCACTACATCAAATGTTGTGGATTCCGGCGTGACAAACAACCCTTGAAGAACTGTAGGACTTACAGCAGTACGCCTACAACCCTTCTCAGGTTGACGCTCTAGGTTGGAAAATCGTCGCAGAGTTTATTTGCTAACTTCCTTCTATCAGCTATATCCTCAAATCTGAACGGCAACACGCCCATGTCATTGTATCGTAGAATATAGATGACCAACAAACACGATATATCTCATCAACCAAGTGTAGAAACAGAGTAATTTACACCAAAGATAATAACATTCAATTAGTAACTTGAAACTAGAAATGCCTTGGTTCATGCAAGTCAATTTAACAATTACTCTCTCCTTTACACTTGGCTTATTCTCACTAAACTGAGCAATATCTTTCGTCTTTTCAAACGCACCAATACTATCATAGTCATTGCATAAGGCACATGAGTTCATGGACGTCCATTTCATTGTGGATGAAAACACCAACGATGACTGAGTGACACAAGGTGATGAACTTAGCAGTGGATCAGAAGCTGTTCTTTTTCGGCTTCCAGATAGTTGTCTAACTGCAAGATTACCACCACTGCTGTCTTCCACTACTAGTTGGGGTTTAGCACTATCATCTGATGATAGGTGAGCTACACGCTGATCAATTACACTGACTGTGTCACAAGTATGCACACCTTCTGGAACTGCATCTGCGTTCAATTCTACTTCACGTTGTAGTTGTACAGAACCTTTATTTAACTTAGCAGTAGTAGGCATATCCCTCATCTCATCATGATCAACCAAAGACAAATCTGCACTATCATGATCATTATCACAAATATTCAATTTACCGTCAAGTTCATCATTTTCAAACTCCTTAAAAACAGAAGTAGACGATTTTGGTTCCTCCTCACAAATCATTAAAGGTTTTATATCTTCACTCTGATTAGTTATACTTTGTAAACTTTTGGAGTCAGAACTGCACTCTGAAGCAGTAACTCTATTCTGTGACACTCTATTCAACAACGGCTTACCAGTTGCAGCTACAGACTTCTTCACCGCACCGTTATCGTCACACAATTCGGAGTCAGGCCTGGAGTTTACATTTAGCTTATCACTGAACTTGCTTACTGGTTCACAGTTCACTTCTGTATGCACCTCTTGCAAACGTGTAAAACACAACCGTGCTTGTCTTGCATCTCGTAACTTATCTGTTGAGGATGTACTACGAAACCTGTTACACTCACTAGGTCTATATGCATTGCTAGACATCATGGAGCCTTCTCGATAACCACCTCTCTGAGGCCCTTTCGTCATCAATGATTGCATTTTGATCTCAGACTGCTCTATTCTAGGGGTGAGATGTAATAGACTGGCGAACTTGCTCATAGATTGATTGACACTAGTATTTACCAGTTTCAGGATATCATCAAACTTTGGCTCGATACCCTCATCCTCCATATGGGAGCTCATCTTCACCCACTTCCTTTGCAGTCGAGTAGGTAGACGTCTTGCTATTACTTCTAGTATAAAACTCGAGTTGAGGTCACTCGTGCGATTCATCGAAATCATTGCATTCTTGTAAATTAGCAAATTGTCTAAAAACTCAGTGAGTGCCGGGGAGTCATCCTGTAATTGACCACCATTACCCTTAACAGCGTCGAATAATTTCCCTGCAATCATCGAAGGTCTTCCAAACCTTTGACGTAATGTGCTCATAGCCTCGTAGTAGCCCTCTTTTGGCTTCATAAACTTACAGCACTGTATAGCTCTTGCAGCATCTCCAGTGCAATATCTCATCAAATACAATAACTTCAATTCATCATTTAATAAAAAACCACTCAACATGATCTCAA